GGCCTTGAGCATGCAAAGCAAGCACTCTACCACTGAGCCACCTTCCCAGCCCAAAAAATATAAAATCTTGATCCTCAGATGTCAGGCTCCTGAGAAGCTAGGATTAGGGTGTGAACCACTGGCTTTCCCATTGGGTTTTAAACATGTGCCTAGTTGAAAATACTGTATATCTGAACTTTTGCTACATGTTCAGAATTGGTACTCAACTGGAAGTGAGAGTAGTATGGTTCTCTGCTCTTCTGGTTTTTTTTTAATCTCCTGGCAACTTCTGGTCCAGATCTTTTGCTTCCTCAGACACATTCATTGAGCACATATTTGAGTGCCTTTGTGCTGGGAAATTTATTAGAAACCTGTGTGCTGGAATTAATGTTTTTAACATGGCTTTCCAAGATTGGCTTCACGGATTCCCCCCTGCCCAATATGCACACTATTGTACCATTATCTGAAAGGGAAATTGGAAAAGTATATGTAATAAGATTTGTTGAAGTGTTTGATTTCTTCTCCAAAATTGGGTTTGTGATATTGGTACTACTTGTGGATGTGAACATACGATTCCACCACTGTTGAGAATGGCAGATCTTGGCATACTGTGATAGGCAAATCTTTGCCTTTGATTACTGTCTGCTTTATGTGTTGGATTGATTGAGCAGGGTGGAGTGTAGGGAGGGGTCAGGAAGCACTGAAGACTGACCCTGGGGAACTTAGAGGTCTCTGCAGTACTTTGTAGATAAGGTTGTTTTCAGTGAGAAGGCTTGTATTGGCAAGAGTCTCACTACTCTCTGGGTTTCTTGGCTCTCAAACTCTGGTAACTTTGATGCCTGTTGGATTTTGTTTCACAGACACCCTGTAGACCTCGGAGAAATGGAGACAGAATCCATAGAAAGCAGCTCTGAATCCCAAACAAGCTCACAGGATAACTTTGTAAGTAGTTTCTTGTTTATTTCTCATCCTGGATGTTTTAGGCAAATTAATTGTTGGGAGCATATGCCACTTAACATACTGACGTTAGATTCTGATGCTGATGCTTATGGAAAAGGGGTGCTGTTTCCCATCATTGTGATGTCAGGTTGATCCTAAGATTGAATTCTGAGAGAGTGACTTTTAGTTTGGCATTTGATTCAGCCCAACTAATGAGTCTTCAACATTTTCATTTGGTAGTAAAAGGCCTTTTTCCTGCATCTAGCACCTCCATATTCACTTATTAGTGCCCACTTGTAAGCCATGCATGGTTCGTTCTGGTGGGCTGGTAGTGTAGGAGCTTTTTTTTTGTTGTTGGTGGTGGTGATCGTGGGTCTTGAATTCTGGGGCCTGGGCGCTATCCCTGAGCTTTTCAGCTCAACTAGCACTCTACCACTTGAGCCATAGCGCCACTTCTGGTTTTCTGGTGCTTAATTGGAGATAGGAGTCTCGAGGAAAGTTGGGTGTTGGTGGCTCACGCCTGTAATCCTAGCTACTCAGGAGGCTGAGATCTGAGGATTGCAGTTCAAAGCCAGCCTGGGCAGAAAACTGGAAGTGGTGCTGTGGCTCAAATGCTAGATATTTCCTTGAGCTGAAGAGCTCAGCGACAGTGCCCATGTCCAGAGTTCAGCCCCCATGACTGACCTCCCCCACCCCCCCCCAAAAAAATTGCCTCATCTCTTTAATTCTGTAGTTAGTGTCCAGGAACACATTCTTTAAGACTTATATATGTGTGCAATTTATAATGAAAAACTTACTATTTTATAAGGGAAACAATACAGTATTTCCATGTGGGCATATCTAAGTAGCATAAGTGAAAAAGCAGGTAAAAAGACTAAAAAGCATATGTCTTTGTTGTTGTTAGTGCTGTCTGTAAGTTCCTGAATCATATCTGAACTTTTCTTCCCACTGTATTACTCTTGGGGAACCCAGTGCTTGTCCTTTATGCTTGTTCACATTTGCATGCCACTGTTGTGGCAGTGTCAACTGTTGTGGCAGTGTCAGTTAAACAAATGTCCAGTGTAGGAATAGCAAGATACTTATCTCTTAAGGAATGTGCCTGTCTCGTCATGTTTTGAAGACTGGTAAGTTGTTGGTCATGGTGCTAATACACTTGTAATTCTAGCTACTTAAGAGGCTGAGAGGTAATTGACAAGTTTGAGGCCTATCTGGCAACTTGTAAGACCCTCTGAAGATAGAAAGAGCTAAGGGTTGTAGCTCAGTGTGAGAAGTCTTGTGCAATTCCTGGGATCATTCTTCACTGTGGGATGGGAAAAAGACTGCTGGACACTGGAGGCTTACTTCTGTAATCTTGGCTACTCAGAAGGCTGAGATCTGAGGATCAAGTTTGAAGCCAGTCCAGGGAAACAAATCCAATATAGGCCCTTATCTAATTAGCCAGCAGAAAGCCAGGAGTAGAAATGTGGCTGTAAGTAGCAATGTGCCAGCCTTGAACAGAAAAAGCTGAGTGCGCAAAGCTCTGAATTCAAGCCTTCATATCAGCACACGTGTGTGGACACTGAAACTGCTCTGAGTGAGTCTGCAGTGCTGCCAACACTGTGTTGTCCTCTATTAGTGTTCATGCTCTGTAACTGTTTTTTGTTGTGCTAGTATTGGGGATTGAACTCTGGGCCAGGTTTTGTCCTTTATTTAGCCTTTTCCACTTAAGGCTAGTTGCTCTACCATTTGAGCCACAACTCCACTTCTGGCTTTGTTTTTGGTGGTTAATTGGAGATGAGTCTCACAGACTTTCCTGACTAGGCTGGCTTCAGAACCTTGATCCTCAGATCTCAGCCTCCTAAGTAGCTAGGATTATAGATGTGAGCCATCGATGCTTGCTAGTTTGTAATTGACAGGGTTAATTCCTACTTAGTTAACTAAGTAGGAATTTGAAACCTCCAGGCATGAGCATCAGTTAGCTAATATTTTGAATTGTTTTGTTATATTTTTGTGTTCATGGGACTCATTGGTCATGATCAGTTTGTTTTGGCCCTGCCATATTCTTGGATACCTAAACATGTACTGAAGTCCCTCAGGCAAGAGAGTCAACCTAGGCTAAGCATCATTAAAAGCAAATGTAGAAGCCAGGTGCCGGTAGTTCACGCCTGTAATATTAGCTACTCAGGAGGCTGCCATCTGAGGATCCCAATTAGAAGCCAGTCTAGGCAGGAAAATCCACGAAACTTTTTTTTTTTTTTGTCGGTCATGGGGCTTGAACTCTGGGCCTGGGCGCTGTCCCTCAGCTCTTCAGCTCAAGG